TATTATAGTTAGGCTACTAGCAAGAAAACATTAGTTAGGTCTACTAGACAAGAAAACAAGAAAACACACTTTCTATCAATTGGCTACAAGCAAGAAAACAGAAAGGCACTACTTTTATGATCTCTAAACGTTTTTTTTGTGAAGCAAACAAGCAAGGCAATTGATAGATGGTACGGAAATAAAAAATTGTATAATTACAGGAAAATGTGTTGAAGTATCAATATTAGCAGACTCTACTTTTCTGATTTTGTTTGTTAGAAAATTGCTGTATTCTGCAATGTAGTTGCATAGAATGAAAGCTGGTTCAAAAGCGGGCAGATTTAACCACCTCAACTTCTCAAGGCTAATAAGTAATATCTTCAATATCTGCAATGACTAGCCTATGATCCAATGAGGCTGTTGAGGTTAAAGTTAAGGCCCCTTAGATAAATAGGTCTTTTTTTTTGGTAATTAAAGTATTTTATTTACCAAGTAACAATATTTACAGTTCGTACTTCCTATAACAAGAACAAAATTCTAGCATACCTCCTACTGGACATAAAGCCCCAGCTATGATCTATCATGATTGCTGGCAGATTGATTGGGACAAACTAATCAAGTGCCTCCATTAATACCATATCCGATTTTGTAGAAATAGACCGCCTCTCAGAACGAGGTAAGAGCACCTTATTGACCAGTTCAAAAAGAAGCTGATACTCAGGAAGTAATACCTTCTTATGCACTTGTTCCCCCTGCTGAATAGCTTGCTCTTTCATGATAGCTCTCCTAAAGTTGANTTTTTTCTGCAGTACTTGTAAATATATACTTGAGAAGAGAGCGGAGGGAATAATCAAACCTTTTCTCTATGGTTTAAACCAGTAATTTCATGGGTCATGATGAACTTAAACAACTAGATTTTCACATAATTCAGCAGAAAGACTTCCTCGTTTATAGGCGTAGGCTTTTAGAATTGAAGCATAATTTGTACAACAGACCACAATAATTTGTCCTTTTACATCTCCAATAGGAATGAACATTGACGGAAGTTTTATCTCGGTAATTTAGGGGATTTGATACTTCAAAACCAGTATGGTGAATTCATCACTGATTTTATTAAGTACGATAGTTAGCTGAATAAGTTTTGAAACATTTCATAAAGATGGAAGTAGTCCTAGAAAGAAAAAATAGACTTGAAGGGTAATCTCACACATATTGAAGAAAATATATGACAAAATTTTCCAAAATAGAAAAGTTTCTTGGTACATGTATCCAGTGCAGTTATGTTTGATTGCCAGGCATAAACCAAATAAACGCAGAGTCAGATAATTTTGGATTTAAAGTTCTCTTGAGTAAAAGAAGCATGCATCCTTGACATCTACCTTAAGCTATTCATTTTACCAATTATTAACATTTTCATGGACTGTGATATAGAGAAAATTTGAAAGAAGCAGTTGTGAACCAAAATGAAAAGCTACATTCGAAGCCTGGGGTATGATCCAACTAACTGCAAGTACACCAGTAATAGCCTTTCTTAAATAGCCTCCGACAGAAATTCAAAAACGGAAAAAAAATTAACTCCATTCCGCTGTTCATATTCTCACACGTCCACACATTTCTACTTGTTCCATTCAAGTTACTCTCTTTTGTCACAAACATTTTATACAGCAATGCTTGCTACTCTATAGTACCAGACAGGGGATAACACTAAGAAGCAGGGGAAAATCTATAATATGCATCCTCCGTACACAAATATGCCATTTTCAAATCAATGAACGCAGTTTAACTACACTTCAAACATCTAAAGCCATAGGATTCAAATTTTAAGTAGTCAATGGTCACACTTATGACAATACAAAAGCTAACCGGTCATTAGCAACAGGAAAAATCATAAGGAGAAGAAATCCTAGAAGTGTTATGCCTATGCATCAAAAAGGCAGATAGACATGTAAGCCAAGGATGCAGGAAAAAGTACCTTAAAATAGTTTCCCACCGGTGATACATAAATCAGAAATGTGTACTCAGGAGCTGGAGCAACACCAAGAACAGCTCCACTCCCCATAAGCAACGGTCTTATGTATAATGAACCTTTACCTGGAGGAGGAATCTGAAGTAAGGAATTGAAGTCAGGACATAAATCTCCCAATAACAGGATTTCCCACTAAGATTGAAGTGACTCATTTACCCATCTTTCATTTGCTAAAACAGTGGCTTTTACTGCTTCCACAAACTGTTCAACAGATGGTGAAGGCATGCATATACGTTCTGCTCCCATCTTCATGCGCAGAGCATTTTCCTCGGGTCGAAATAGCAATATATTACCATCATGTCTTTTATAGGCTTTTAAACCTTCAAACAGTCCCTATCAATATTTCTACAAGCATTTAAGTAAAGTCTGACAGATGAGAGTAGAACAGTAATTTAAAATGAATAACATAAGCAATGTATTTAAGATTAACAAAAAGAATGCTTGAAGTGAAAATCAAGACCAAGATAAGGTGCAAAACAGACCTGTCCATAATTTAATATCCCAGCAGATGGGCTCAACTCGATGTTCCCAAAACGCTGTAGCTCACCCTTGGAAAAGTTGTCATCTCGAGAACATTTCATGATATACATATAATCAGTAGGCGTAATGCTAAAGCCAAGGTTATCCCAATCGATATCGGCTAATTCAGGTGTTGTACTGTTTTTATAAAGAAAATACACTTATTATTAGTTGGTCTACTAGCAAGAAAACATTAGTTGGTCTACTAGCAAGAAAACAAGAAAACACACTTTCTATCAATTGGTCTACAAGCAAGAAAACAAGAAAGGCACTACTTTTATGATCTCTAACTTTTTTTGTGAGCAAACAAGCAAGGCAATTGATAGATGGTCGGAAAATAAAAAATTGTATAATTACAGGAAAATGTGTTGAAGTATCAATATTAGCAGACTCTACTTTTCTGATTTTGTTTGTTAGAAAATTGCTGTATTCTGCAATGTAGTTGCATAGAATGAAAGCTGGTTCAAAAGCGGGCAGATTTAACCACCTCAACTTCTCAAGGCTAATAAGTAATATCTTCAATATCTGCAATGACTAGCCTATGATCCAATGAGGCTGTTGAGGTTAAAGTTAAGGCCCCTTAGATAAATAGGTCTTTTTTTTTTGGTAATTAAAGTATTTTATTTACCAAGTAACAATATTTACAGTTCGTACTTCCTATAACAAGAACAAAATTCTAGCATACCTCCTACTGGACATAAAGCCCCAGCTAGGAGATACCTATCTTTAGAACTTCTGCTACTGCTACAGCTTAAACGCTACTTCATACTCTAATTTATTACAGGGTACCAATTCAAATTATTCATTGCTCTATCTAGATAAGGAAATTTGGCAGCCCCTATATGAACTTCCTGTATGATCAGTCGTAATATGGCATTACTTGTTCTCCTCTTCTTCTGAAAAATCACACTATTTCTTTCTTGCCAAATATGGTAGACTGCAGCTGCTAGGATCATCCTACATACTGCTGCTCCTGCACTCTTTCCCTTGCTTACCTGTGTCATCCATGTCACTTCCTCCTGCCAAGCTTTCTTTGGTCTTTTAATACCTTGCCATTCCAGTAGTCGAAGCCATATCTTTCCTGTTATCTCACAGTCAAAAAATAGATGTTGCACTATCTCGTTTTCCTTGTTACACAATGAGCATGTTTGATCTTCAATCACACCCCATCTTGCTAGCCTTTCTTTAGTAGCCAGTCTTTGCTGAATTGCCAGCCTTAGAATGAATGTCCACTTGGCCTGTCCCTGATTGTTGCATACTAGTTTCCTCCATGTCACCTTAGGAAAGTCTCCTTGCATGGTTCTGTATAGTTGCTTGATAGAACATTTCTCCATCTTCTGAACATCTTCTTCTGAGAGCCCTGTATTTGCAAAGTAGTTCCTTGCTTTGAAAATCTTTTGTATGGCCCATGATGCATTCTTTGGTTCAGTATTCCAGACTGTGTTCCCTTTATGTAGTAAGTATGCACCCATTGAATCCACATCTTCTCTTTCCTTGTGCAAATACTCCATAGTAACTTGCAAACGACTGCTTTGTTCCATAGCTCCACATTGATGAAGTTCAATCCCCCAGCTACTTTTGGTGCACACAGTTTGTCCCAGGCTATCAAAGCCTTCTTTGTTGGTTCAGCATTTCCTGTCCATAGGAACCTTCTACAAATTGCTTCTAAGAAATGAACAATTTTCTTGGGCAAGATGAAGATCTGAGCCCAGAAAGTTTGTATAGCAAATAGCACACTCTTGACTAGGACTGCTCTTCCAGCATATGACAGAAACTTTGTGGTCCAGCTTTGAATTCTGCTTAGCATCCTCTCTTTTAAGGGTTCACATTGAATGGCAAACAGTCTCTTTGTGCTCAAAGGAACACCTAGATATCTGAGTGGTAGCTCACCTTTAGTATAGCCTAGTATGTCCATAATTTGCTGCTGGATCATGTTGTTCACACCACCAAAATAAATGCTGCTTTTGTTTGGATTAGCATTAGACCTGAGGCTGCTGAGAACATTTGGAAGTGCTTGTGCAGCATCTGGACTGATTGAGTATCACCTCTACAAAATAGGAGTAAGTCATCTGCAAATCCCAGTTGAACTAGGTTGAATTTGGCACACCTTGGATGGAATTTAAACTGCTTATTGCCCTTCAGTGTTTTCAAAGACCTGCTTAGGTACTCCGTTGCTAAAACAAATAGGAAAGGGGATAGTGAATCTCCCTGCCTTAAACCTTTTCTTGCTTCAAATGGTACAGAGTGCTTACCATTGATTAACACAGAATAGGACACAGTTGTGATGCAGGCCATTATCCACTTCACAAATATTTCAGGGAAGTTCAGTAACCTCAGTACTTGTTCAATGTACACCCATTCCACAAAGTCGTATGCCTTTTGCATATCTATTTTGAGCATGCATCTAGGAGAAATATTCTTCCTTCCATATCCCTTGACCAGTTCATGGCTCATAAGGATGTTGTGTGTAATCAATCTCCCAGGTACAAAGGCAGCTTGACAATTATCTATCAGTTCTTCCATCACATCCTGCATTCTTGCTGTGAGAACTTTTGAAATTATCTTATAGAAAACTGTACAGCATGAAATTGGCCTGAAATCCCTTATGTTTGTTGGATTTTGAATCTTTGGTATCAAGGTAATTGTTGTGCAGTTAATGGCTTTGCACATATCTGTACTTTCAAAGAACTCTTTAACTGCTGCAGTCACTTCCTCCCCCAATATGTGCCATGTTTTCTTGAAGAAGAAAGCATTGTACCCATCACACCCTGGTGCCTTGTTGTCATCAATGTCCATTATAGCTTGTTTCACTTCTTCTCTGGTAACTGGTCTTATTAGCTGCAATTGTTGCCTCCTATTTAGTATATGGCCCTTCTGCATGATCTCAGGATTAACAACTGACAGTGCTGCTGCAGTACCAAGTAAACCCCTATAGAAGCTTAGGATTTCCTCCTCCACTTCAACTGGACTTTGTAGGAGTTGCCCAGTTCTAGTGACTAATTTGTTAATGCTATTCCTTGCTTGCATGTTCTTCATGCAAGCATGATAGTATGCTGTGTTAGAATCACCAAGCTTAAGCCACTGTATCCTGGACTTCTGTTTTATAACACTTTCCTCAACCATCAGCCACTTCTCCAAATCTAACTTTGTAGCTTTTTCAAGAGCTACTGCCTCATCATCTTGACCTGGGGTGTTCAGTTGTTGTTGTATACTTTCTAATCTCCCCCTTGCTGCTTGTATTTTGCTTTCTATTCCACTGAATTCTTGCTTATTCAGTTGCTTTAGGGCCCCTTTTAGTGTTTTAAGTTTATTCCACACAGAAAACATGGCAGGTCCTTTTTTGCTGTTCCTCCAAACTTGCCTTACTGTTCCATCAAACTCAGTTAAGCTTGCCAAACAGTTTAGAAATTTGAAGGGTCTCATGCCTGCTTGGTTGTTGATTTCAAATCTCACACTTAAGGGACAGTGATCTGAAAAACCTGGAAAATGATTCCCTCCATGTAAGGCCATTGTTGTAACCATTCTGCGTTAACCAGGATTCTGTCAATCCTACTATGGACATGGTTATTAGTCCATGTGTACTGCCTACCCACAGTCTTCAATTCATCTAATCCTGCATCCACTAGGAACTCCTTGAAATCCCTTATCTCACTCTCCTGCACAGGGTTTCCATTGGTTCTATACTCACTAGTTAAGATAGTATTGAAATCCCCCATTATGAGACAAGGATTGTTCATACCCTGCATTGACACCTTCAGTTCCTCCCATAAACTTTTCCTATCTTGGACTGTGTGTTTACCATAAATTGCACAGTAATTGAAACTGGTTATGTGATGCATCATAGTTACCTTCCCTATTATAAATTGCTCATGAGTTCTGATCATCAACCAGTCCACCTGAGTTGGATCCCATGCTACCCATATTCTACCACCTGGAGCTTCATTATAGTTGTCAGTCCACCTCCAGTTGTTGAAAGTCTTCTTTATTATTGAGTCTGCATTGCTTTTCTTCACTCTATGTTCTATAATAGCTACCAGTACCACTTCATTTGTCCTACAAATTCTTTTTAGTTATTTTTGCTTATATACTTTATTCAAACCTCTCACATTCCATGCTATAATGTTCAACATGATATGTGTGTTTGTTGTGGATCACCTTCCCTAGCCTTCTTAGTCTGCTTCTCCCTCAACCTTGGGCTTCAGATAATTGAGCAGTATCAACTAATGCTTTGAAGGCATTGCCAATGTCCACTTCATTTTCCCTTACCACTTATGCATTCTTCTTTGTAGCAGATTTCCCTCGAGCAACTTGCCACTGAGGATCCGCTTCCAGCTTATTTGATTGCACATTTTCTGCTTCCTCCAATTGATCAAGGAATCTTCCTTGAGCATCAATTTTATCTGCAGCAGGCTCAAGATTTCTGACTTTCTTCCACTCTTGCTTTTGCTTTATTTCTATACTCTTCTGTATCATTCCTTCCTGTTTCTGCTGCTTCTGATCTCTACAGGAATGGCCTAGTTGGCAGCATGTTTGGCAGTACTGTGGCTTCCAATCATATTGAATCATCTGCTGCATCACCTTCCCTCTAGGATCATACAGTTTAATCCTCTCTGGCAAAGGTCTTGTAACATCCATTTCAATTAGAACCCTGGCATATGAGACTCTTTCAGCTATTGTAGTACAAGCATCAGCATACGCTGGCTTCCCCAATCCACTTCCAATTTTACTTAAAGCCTGCTTACTCCAGTAGTTGAGTGGCAATTTTGGGAGTTTCACCCATAAGGGAATGGTTTTCAGCACTTCTTCATTGAAATCAAAGTTCTCCGACCATGGCCTAATTATAATTGGCCTGCTATTCAGTGTATAAGGCCCATTCAGCATCACATCCTCTCTCTCTTCAGTGTTGCTTAACAGTATGATGAAGTACCCATCGTTATGGTAGAGCACTTTAGGTTTCTGAACATTAACCCATTGATTAGCTATGAATCTCTCAATAGCTCCAATTAATGGAGTATTCCCCACCACATAAAGTATAACTGCTCGATTCCACTTTTGGTTCTCCTCTTCGATATCCTCTTCCATCAATTGTACCACTACTTCACCATCCTTCATCACAGGAGGTATGTAAGTTAGATTCATACCTTTTGCTGCCATTTTGTTCTCTTGGAAGAGTCCTGCCCATGATCTACCCTTTTATCAATCCCTCTGCTCCTTTGGTGGACTTGCATGCACTGTTCCATTGGTCTGGACCTTGCTCGAGCTCGGCTGCTCACTTACATTCAGCACTACAACAATTCCTTTACCAGAACTCACCATAGGTGTCAATTGATTACTAGAATTCACCGGTGTTACCATTTTGACTCGATTATCACCCAGATCTGGCCAATTTGGATCACTGTCACTGTCCTGGTCCAGATCTTCCTCTTGCATTTTCTCCTTTGCTTTAGTGTTTCGTTTTCCTTGCTCGCGTGTGATGATGTCCGTCAATATCCTCTCTATGACTGGTGTTTCGCTGGCGTTCTTCTTCGCTCGTCCTCTTCCTCCCATTTCCGGTGGCGTAGGTTAACAGTTCACCTAACGTGCACCGAGAGAAGAAAAGAACCTAGGGCCAACCCCTTAATTCTAGTATTGATAAATAGGTCTTAAGCCCAATAAAAGCATATTCCTCTCCAAGCTTATGTTGGTTATGCGTCAATAGTTCGTAACAATGTGAGTATTTGTTTCTTTAGTTTTTAGTGCAGGATACAACCACCATCCATTTGCCCCAGAAGAAAAATAAAAGTAGTGATTATCTCATGATGCACAAGACATTTTGTACTTCCTCTTTTTCTGATTTCAGATATTTTCCAAGATGCTCCTGTCTATGTTGTCCAACCAAAGCAACATGTAAAATATTTTTGAGTCCGTCTCTCCAAATAAATAGTTGCATCTCTAGGAAATTCAGGTTATTCAGGTTGTGCAGTTTTTTATTTTCTTTTTTAGATATGCTAAACCCAACATCCCGAACCTTTCTTCCAAGAATCAAAAGTGGTCCTTTTCTACTTTGCTCCATTAGTGAATTAAACTCCCAACCTCTTGGTTGGAGGTTCTCCCTTACGCAGCCACCTAAATTCAGGCCACGGCATCCCCATATACCAGTAAATAGCATATTTATGTAATTTAGCTTATTCTCGTTCCTCACACTATAGCTACCTATATTCAACTCATTTTACCTTCATGTGCTATTTGCAGAAAACAATGCAGCATCTTTATGTAATTTAGGCTATATTGGTTCTGCATGAATAGACTACCTAAATTCAGGTAGTTGTCAATCTTTATGCACTAACAAAAAACAAAATTAGGATCTTAGCGTAATTTAGGTTATTCTGGTTTTGTGAAATGTAGGGACCTATTTCAGATACTGTCATCTTTATTTACTAATCAAAAAGTAGCATCTTTGTGTGATCAGGCTTAACCGACCAACTAGTTTAGGATTGAACAACACAGTTGATTGATTTATGTAACTTAGTTCATTCTTGCATAATAGCCACCTTAATTCAGGAAATGTCGGAAGAAACGACTCACAAACAAGACCTTAAAATTATCACTTTTCAAAAAACAAATGAGTACTTTCACGGCACCCAAGGTGTGGCCTAGTGGTCTATAAAGTGATAGGAAAATCATGAGGTCTCGGGTTCAAATTCTAGCGGAGGCAATAAATACTAGGTGAATTCTTTTTATCTGCCTAAGCATTAATCAACAGAGTTATCCAATACCTATGCTGGTGAGAGGTAGCAAGTAATCGATGGAATAGTTGAGGTGCGTCCAAGCTGGACCAGATAGCACCGTCATAAAAATATGAGAGTAATTTCATGATGTGATGATATTGACTACTTTCATTTTTTTGAAAATTGACTGGTTTTGAATATACTCAAAATTAACAAAATAGCAATCCAGATGTACAAATCAAAAAAATAAAGAAGGGAAAATAGATTTTGGGAGCGGGACATTTAAATTGTAAAACAAAAGCAGCAAAAGATTAAAAAGATAAGGAAAAAATTACCTTGCAGGAGAGGCCACCTGAAGAGCACTCCCATTGTTTTGGGAGCTATTACTACTATAAGAAGCAAAATGTGACTGCTTCTGAAGCTGAACACACAAAATTAACCAAAAATCAACATTTACATGCACAGATTTACAAAAGGATTTAAGTTATATGTTAAAAGAGTTTGAGCTATACACATCCTAACTTATCTTATTTTCAAAATTGCAAATTCCACATTTTAAGGAACTTTGAGCCTGAAGAAAAATTTATACTCAAGTTAACTAAAAACTCAAAATTTATACGGATGATGTATATAACTTAAACTCAACGTACACAAATTTAACAAATACAAGCACAATAAAGCAACGAGATTTCGAATTGATAGTAAAGTAGCTAAAGAGTGAAAAAGAGCATTAGAGGAGCGGAGCAAAAAACCTTTAAAGAGAGAGGAGCAAAACGGCGTTTGTCGGTGAAGGAATTAGCAGGAGGAAGAAGCTTAATAGCGGTTCGTGATGGGCCGAGAAGGTGATTAGAACTGGGTTGCGGATGAAGCCCTGCGAATGCGCTGCCGCTCTCCATTGATCTGTTCTTCTGGAGTAGCTTCCTGTGCTTGGGTCTTGGGACTTTGACCAGTGGCGTTTGTCTCAGCAGTTTCAACGTTTTCAGTATATGTCCACGTAAAGTTCTACTCTGGGAAATTATATGCTCTCCCTACCAAAGGTGGCTAACGGACCGGGTTGGCCCGATTTCAGATCGGACCAGACCAGCCCGATGTATTGGGGCTCCGGATAGGGGCTGGCTCTTGAAAGTATCCGTTTGTGCCGGTTGGGATTGTCCTACGGGTGGCCCGGACTGGTTGGAATCGGTTAAGTCACATCAAGTTGTAACCAGTTACCCGGACCGGCTCGAACCGGTTCAATAGCCTATTCATTCAAATTTTTTTGGATATTTGGCCAGAAGTGTCCTTAACATATTGAAAATGGCTCAGAAATACCCTCTATTAACCTTTGGGACCCGAAATACCCTCAACGATTTTTTTTTCTCAAGTCTGCCCATGAGATTTAACAGACCAGTCATGGTCAAATTTACACTTTAAATTTTCACGTGGCACGTTATAAGTGTGCTACGTGTATAAAACAGTAAACAAAACTAAAAATCCATCTTTAGAAAGATACCCGAACCGACCCACTACCTATAATTCATATAATGCATTTAACTAAAACCTAAAAACAAGCGACAATTCTTCAGCAAAACATTCCACTCTTCTTTCATGGCTTAGACTCGATTCTTGTGTGTGAAGTCGATTTTTGGAGTAAATGTATAGGAATTTCAAGGATTCTCTTGAAGATTCATATCCAAAGTCAACTGTGAGTTTTTTACTGTTTTGTATGAATTTTTGCGTTTGGAATTTTTGGGTATCTACAACCTTGTCCTTCTAATAATTTTTTTTTACTTTATTTATGTTGGTTGAAGCTTTTAATGGCGTTATTTACTCATTTTTGTTCACTTGTGGTCCCTTGTCGATTTGTCTTGTCGAAAATTTAGGGTTATTAATCTAGTGGGTGGGGTTTATTTATTCGTTTGTGGTCCTATTGTTTGTTAAATGTGGTTAGATTCTAATTTTTTTTTTTTTTTTGTATTTTCTGATGTGGTCCATATTTACTTTCTTTTTTGGCTTGCATGTGCTAGTTTCTGAAGATACAAGAAAAAATGGACTTGATTTTTAACTATGGGGGTATTTGGGTCCGAGAATCTCAATTGGTCTGTATTAAAAAACTAAAACACATGTGGAAAGGGTGTAATGTTGATCTACTGTCATATATGGATATCTGTCAAAGATATAAGGAAGAGATAGGGTTTAGTGAGGGGAAGCAGTTGTTAGTTATAGGGCCATCAGGTAAGATCTATTTGTTAGAGGGTTATGAATGTATTATGTGACGACCCGACCCGTCGTCACGGGAGTTACCGCCCCGTTTCCCCCATTTTCTATTTCTTTATGCTTCATTATCAGTGTTGGGTGTGAACGAGTTGATTTGGATTGGTTCTAGAAGGAAATGAGACACTTAGTCTCTTTAAGGAAGGTTTATTTTGGAAAAGTCAACCGGACGTTTACTTCTGTGTTAGAGGGCTTGGATATGAATTTTGATGATTCGGTTAGCTTCGAGGGATGATTTGTGACTTAGGAGTGTGATCGGAAGTAATTTTGGAGGTCCGGTGTAGAATTAGGCTTGAATTGGCGGAGTTAGTATTTTGGCGAATTCCGGTTGATAAGTGGGATTTTGATCCGAGGGTCGGAATGGAATTCCGAGAGTTGCTGTAGCTTCGTTATGTGATTTGGGATGTGTGTGCAAAATTTCAGGTCATTCGGAGGTGATTTGGTAGGGTTTCTGGTCGAATACGTGTTTCAGAAGTTTTAGAAGAACTTAGGCTTGAATTCGATGTAATTTGATGGTTTTGGTGTTAATTGATGTGTCTTGATGATTGNAGCTTGTATGGGTCCACCAAATCGTAGAGTGCCTGGTCCTCTACAAGTTTCTGCTGAGAGCACTTAGTAAGGTAGTAAGTAAATGAGGCAGAGGATTTTTACGTGGAAAAATCCCGCACAAGGGGATCAAAAAACCACGACCTACCCTGTAGGCTTTTAACTTCACTAACTTGTAATCTTACCTATTACAAGCCACTTTACAATGCTTCCGATTGTAAAGACTTTAAACTAACTTGTGGCACCTTTACCACAAGCCACTTTATGACTATCCTAGTTACAAAGGCTTTTTCTAACTTGTGGTGCTATCACCACAAGCCACTTTACAATACTACGATTATAAAGACTTTTCTTTATCACTAAATCTAGCCATAACCTAAACCCAACGAGTCTGAGGATTTACAAGAGAATTCCTAATCATTAAGCTTCTAAGTAAGCAATTTAGGAGATATTGTAAGTGCAATAACAAGGTTACAACTCAACTAGGACAGCAATAATCAATCGTTTTGGAACTGGTCCGTAGTGGCGTTCAACCTTGTTCTTCAAGCTTGAGAGAATGATCTTTTCTGTTTTTGCTAAAGGCTTGAATGATGAAGCTGAAACCATTCAGTGATGTTTTGTATAAAAACCCCTTTGGTACATCTTGGTCACATCACTTGAAATGATGTGACTACTTTGTCTGGTTAGAGAATGAGTGGGCTGACAGTGTGGTGCAGTGCGGCAGAAACAGTGCCGCCAGTCACTTCAGTTCCAGTTGTGTCCAAATGACTTTGTGTTGCTATATAAGAACCACAGGAGCATCAGGTCCTTGTTTGGTTCCTAGCTCCTATATGTGTAGCAATTCATCTTTTACTGGAGTCTGTTGGAGTTTGCAGCAATCCAAGGTAGATCAGGTTCCCTAACTGGTTCTTGTTAGAAAGTTTGTTAGATCATCAAAACTTAAGGTAAGAATATTTAAGATCTATCACGGGGATACGTAGGAAGCCCCGTGGGTTCAGTCACATCATAAAAAAATCTTCATTCCCCTCTTTGGTTGGGAATTGGGCAAGATTTCAAGTTTGTCAACCTCATTACGTCAAAGGTTGCCGAGAAGGTTATCGTCGGAAGTACGCATTTAAACTGGGGCAGAATTTTTAGGAGGGTCCTCAAAATTCCAAGTTAAGGAGGTTGCAATATCTCGAAGCATGTCACTGTCTCTGATTCGACGAAATTATTTGTTCTATGCATCATCACATATTTTGAACAAGTTGTATTTTTACAAATAATTCATCACAAGTGCGTATTTTCGAGAATTTCATTTTTTCTGTAGTAGCTAGATGTTACACAGGACAAGGCATCAATACAAAGAGCAAAGGCGGATGAAGAATCAAAGGCACAGACCAAACTTCCCCCCCCCCCTCCCCCGCCTCCAAAAAGAAAAAGAACTAACAATTTTTTCTTTGGATACATGCATAACGAATATGATAAGCATACCCGTACGTTCGTATCAAGAATGCCATCCTCACTGATAGAAGTCACCAAGTGCAAACGCATCTCATATTTAATCTTCATCATTTTTTCATAGGGATAAGCACTGCCCCCATTATTGCATATGGCAAAGCACTGCCTTTCTTTGCATAAGGCTAAACACTGACTTCCACTGCATGAGACTAAGCATATCCTCCATTATTGCATAAAGGGCTAAGCATTGTCATCATTACATTGCATGAGACTAAGCATTTCCTCCATTATCGCATAAGGATAAACACTACCTTCCTCCGCATGAGACTAAACACTATCTCCATTACATTACATGAGGCTAAGTATTGCCTCCGTTATCACATAAGGCTAAACACTGCATTCCTTTGCATGAGGCTAAGCATTGCCTCAATTATTGCATAAGGCTAAATGCTACCTCCCTCTACATAGGGCTAAACACTGCCCTCATCTCATACAAGGCTGAGCGTTGCCTTGTCTCGTTCTCGCATACAACTAAGCATCAACTGTTCCTTCAATCAAACGATCGATGTCTCCGCATTTTTGCATTTCATGGGATGAAACATCGCCATATTATCCGAAGGCATCATAGTCTGAAGGAATCATCCTCATAGCCCGAAGACATCATTCCATGGCCTGAGGATCTCTCAAAACTGCACATCATTATTCAAAGGCATCATAGTCCAGAGGCACCATCCTTATGGCCCGAGGACACCATTTCATGGCCTGCGAATCCCTTATCATACGCTTCATGGCTAAGGACGTCATGGTCTGAGGACATCATCCTCATCGTCCAAAGACAACTCTCATGGTCCAAAAGGAATTTGCATCACGTTTAAATTTTTGCAATATATATATATATATATATATATATATATATATATATATATATATATTCGCGTGCATAGTGTTTTAATTTTTGCAGTAACTCGGGAGGTAACCGTCCTACAAACAGGACCAATTCTCGCTCCGATTTTCGTTCACAACGTTCACATCCTTCGATTATCTCGAACGTAGTCGACAATCAGCAATTGTTTACTCTGTGTGCCATAACCGCTCAAGCATTTATTTCAAATGTCTGTAGCATTCAAATTCGCATTCATAGCTCCACCCGAAATTATCCATTACTTATAACACCATCCTATACAAAAGATCATTGCTTAAAACATACAACCATTCCTATAACGACTCCATCGGTTTCGATCACCGTTGGATCCAGAACTACACACAACCTGATTCACGTAACACCGGGGATATGTAGGCAACTCAAGAACCAGGGTTCGGCCCCCATTTATTCGAAAACACATTCATTCATTTCGGACAAAATTGGTCATCATTTTCTTTACTCGACAACTCTTTCATCATTTCCGAGTAAAGATGGGCAGCTGTTGATACCCAATTTGCCCTCATATTTTATAATAACATATATACTTTCAAAATATCATTTTTGCATCATCATTAATTTACAAGAGTCGTATAAGTATTTTTTATAATTTTCCATAATTTTTCAGGCTTTAAAATTGATTCTCTTGCATTTAAATTGTTCAAATATTTACTAATTACCCTTTCATAATATTTTTGTGATGACTTAATAATCCAAAATTTTAATTTTACCCCCATATATGTTTTATAATATTTTTACTTCATTTTATATAATTACATTTGTATTTTCAAGCTATTTATATTATTCTGCAATAATAGCCTATATTCTATACATAACTATATTATTTACATTATTTATGCTAAAATAGCATTTTTATATTTTTTTTATAATGTTAAGCTATTATTTTCAGCCATTTTACTGCATAAGTAATATTTGATTATTTATTAATTACTTTTTATAAATTATTTTTAACAAATTTAAATATTTTATTTATAGCCCAACATAGGGCTAATTTCGAAACAAAATTAGGCCCAAAGCAGGTTGCCCATCTCCATTTAACCCTTCAGCAGCCCAAACCAAACAACCTCTCCATTTAACCCGATCACGTCCCATTTTAAACAACCCGTCCCACTCTTTCACTACTAGAAATACAGACTTTTCCCATGGAAGAATCGGTGGGAAATCTGTGTGAAATTTCAATATTCCCACGATATTCCCAGGGGAGACGCTCGGTGGGGAAATGGTTGGTGGGAAAATAGTTTCCCACGACATTCGTGGGTAATTCCCAGCGAGTTTCCCATGGAGGGTTTGGTGGGGTCACCAAGTGTAATTTCCCACTGATGTCGTGGGAAAAGTAAGAAAATAAATAATTTAATTTTCTTAAGTTTCCCACCGAATCCGTGGGAAATATAAAAAATAATTTAGATATTTTTTTTAATTTACCCATGGAAGTACTGGGAAAGATTCATAAAATGGATATAAACATATGGAGATTCCCACGAAAATCAGTGGGAAATGTTGAAATTTGAAAAAAAATGCACAAAATTCCCATGGAGTCGGTGGGAAATCCGTGGGAAATCTGGAAAATATCTTCATGGTCAAATTTTTTTTAGAACTACACCACCTGCCAAACAAAAAGTACAACCAACAATACAAGACTAAATACAATTAAACATTCAAATACCAAATTCAACATGCAATCCAATTCATTTAAAAAACAACAACTAATCAATCCATTTCATAATTAATCCAACTAATCCAAAAGTAGAACAAAAACTCAAAAAATCCAACATTCAATATTCAACATCCAAGTACCAGCCAAGACAAGCTAATAAAAGAAACTACTCCTTAGTTATCATCAGATGCTGGAGAACGGGGCACATGAAATGCACCAGATGCTAAGAGGGAGTTTATCTGAGACTTGAGACTTTTAACATCACTAGTGACAAGTCTTAATGCGTCGTCTTTTCGCCTCATTTCTTCCTCCCTTCGCCTTTCCTCTTCCTCTCTTCGCCTATCTTCTTCCTCCCTTTGCTTTGCCTCTTCTTCCCTTGCAGCCCTTTCTTGAAGATACAACTCTATAATCTTCGCTACCTTCCTATTCAATTGCTCAAACTCATCCAGATCAACCGAGCAATATGACGAAGAATAAGAACCAGACAATCCAGAAGTACGACGGCCGAGACTAAACTCTGATCCAAGGCCGTAGACTCTCCCCTTATGCACGCCACTAGCTGCCTCAATCCACATGTCCATGATCTCATCTTGGGTTGGTTGGATTGGCCTACCTTGATCATCAATCGGCTGGCTTTGAATGAACTCCTCTAAGATTCGTTTGAAATTATCCTGTAAAAAAATACAATTATTATAAAAGTAAACTTTATTAAAGAAAATTTATGCAAGTATCTTTATTTCTCTAACTTTAAAGTGAAACACACGGAAAGATAATGTGTAGACAATGTATCGGTACTTCTAATGAGGAAAAATTACTACACCATCTCTTTTATAAAATCAATACCCATAAGCTACTAGCTGCTAGTTCTCCGGTACTTGTAATAGGGAAACAATAAGATGAATTCCAGTATATTTCCCCAAACAAAGTTTTTTACATACAAAATCTCAATAAGCAGACACAAATGAAGGAACATAGAAATATTTTTCTTGGCTATACAATTAATGATAATAAAAATGCATTTAAAATAATAGTTTGCTAATTCAAGTATCGTTAAAGAAGCCTTGTAAAATATTGAATTCTGCTTAGCTATCCCTTTTGTGCAAAAATAATGAACTACATTTGTGCTAGCTCAAACAAGAAGCACAACAACCCAGGAAAAAGAAAAAAAAACTGATTTCAAGCATGATGAGGTTCTGTTGTGAAATTGAAAGAATCATCTATTAGATTCTGAATTATATGAAAGAGTCTTTAGGCCAATCACCAGCACTCATTTTGAAGCTCCAATTGGATAAAAAAAAACTCCCAAATAGGACTACAATGATTTTCAGTACTACCATTTTCAGTAATCCCACATGGCTTGCTTCAAATATGTAACTTTTTCTTTAGAAACATTAACTAAACCAACAATAACCAAAGCTCTCAGTACTACTATCTAGTATTGACGATCATACATCCCATCTCAATTCCTATTATGCAACAGAGGCTAGTCTTGATTAACAGTTGCAGACCAAAAAGCAACTAAAGACAAAATGCCAGACTCAAACCCCATGTGATTCATGCTACTAATTGCCAAACTTTTACCACCCCAAACCAATCAATATTCTTTTCAACAAACAGAATCCTAAAGAATCTGTGACAAAATAGCAACAAATAGCAAATGCTTGCAAATAGCAAATGCTTGCTTTCATCTGTCATGCACAGTAGATATCAATTTTATTACGAGGTATAGCCACTACGAATTGAAAGCCTCCCACATTACTAACTTTATTCAGTTAGTTCATTAAAAAGCACAAGAAAATACTACAAGTGCATAAAAAAGTATTGAATATTACAAGTACTGTAAACCAGGTATTCAGTGAATGTTTTGCAATCAACACATACATAGTAATCACTAATTCTAAGGCATGTGCAACCAACCAAACAGTGTCATATGCATGAAGTGCATAGGAATTAAGCCCTACTACCCGAGCCATCAGTAGACTGATCAGTAGTCTACATAGCATAATTTTAGATGGGAAGAAGTATAATCAAAATACATAAAGGAAAAATAATTAATGATTATTACCTCTCAAATGGATACATCCATCTACATTGAACAGGCCCACCAAGTCGTGCCTCTCTTACAAGATGAACTGAGAGATGTTCCATTATATTAAAAAAACACATGGTTTTGCCAGTTTGTTTATGATTAAATGGATGTTACTTTCCATCAAAACTAGATTTTCCTCCCTCAATGTATTAGAATATAGGTCTTTGAAAAATAAGCTTATCTCTGTAATGGGTTTCTATATTCTCTCAGGCAATGCACTAAATGCAATAGGAAGTAATGATTCCATGAAAATGTGACAATCATGGCTTTTCATATACATCAACTTTCCTTCTTTCATGTCAACATAATTGGATAAGTTTGAAGCATACCCATCGGGCATTCTCAAATTTTGAACCCAATCACAGATCTTTCGTTTGTCATCCATTTTGAATGAATAACTGGCCTTAGGCTTCACCATCCTATTATTTTCTTGTCGTAGTTCTAATTCTCTTCGCCTACAGTATACCTATAAGTCTATCCTGGCCTTCAAATTATCTTTTGTCCTGTTCTTGTCATCCATTACAGTATGAAACAGGTCATCAAAAAAGTTCTTTTCAATATGCATGACATCCAAGTTATGTCGAAGAAGATTATACTTCCAATAAGGTAACTCCCGAAATATGCTCTGTTTAGTTCAATTATGCTCAACACCATAACCAGGTAATTTAAGCAATGGAGACTCTGTTACCTTAGGAAAATTCTTAACCCTCTCCCAAATTTCCTCCCCCGACAAGGTTGTTGGTGGCTCATCATAATCTGTTCGATTCTTCATAAATGCACTAGTATTTCTCCTGAACTCATGATCCATTGGCAAAAATCGACGGTGACAGTCAAACCATGTGGTCTTACCTCCATGTTTCAAAGTGAATGCTTTTGTGTCTTCCATACAGCAAGGACAAGCTAACTTTCCGGCAGTCGACCATCCAGATAACATTCCATACACAGGAAAGTCATTAATAGTCCACATCAAAGCAGCACACAATTTAAAATTTTGTTTAGTTGATATGCCGTATGTTTCAACACTTCCTGCCACAATAACTTTAGCTCATAAATCAAAGGCTACAAATATACATCAATCAAACTTTTTTGATTACTTGGACCCGGAACAATGCTAGTTAGGAACAAATATGGACTTGTCATACACATCTCTGGCGGAAGATTATTCGGTGTAATAAAAATAGGCCAACAAGAATATGGTACAGCAGAGACAGAAAAAGGAGTGAATCCATCTGCACACAAACCCAGCCTAACATTTCTTGGTTCATTAGAAAAGTCAGGATACATCCTATCAAAATGCTTCCACGCTTCTCCATCTGAAGGATGACACAAAACACCAGGCGCCCTTCTATTTTCGCGGTGCCATCTCATATGAGGAGCGGAACTCATTGATGCATACAATCTCTTTAACCTAGGTATAATAGGTAAATAATGCATCCTCTTAATTGGAACTTTCTTTGCTTTGGCATTTGTGACTTCCTTAAAACGAGACAATCCACAAAATTTGCACGCTTCTAGAGCCGCATCATCTTTATAATATAACATACAACCTTTTTCACAACAATCAATTTTTGTTGAGGAAAGTCCTAACTTGGAAACTAACTTCTTAGCCTTATAGTAATCACCGGGTAAGTTAATGTTTGGACTAACTTCACCCATAAGCCCAATTATAGCATTCATGGCCGCTTGAGAAATATTCCAATCCGATTTGATAGTTAGTAATCTAACTGCAAGAGACAACTCCGAGTGTATTGAGTCTTTATAAAGTGGACGACTAGCCGCCTCTAATAATTCATAAAAGTGTTTTGTCTTATCATTGGGAGACTCATCAATATTTTGTTGGGATTGAACTCCTGGGTGTATCCCAAAAGCATTCGACACTATTTCATGCATTTGAGAATTATCATAATTTTTCTCAAAGAATGTACTACTCTCACAACCAGCAAGATTTTGAAAGTCAACATCATCTAAATTACTGTAGTTCTCTCCATGAACCGTCCATACATAATAATTCTCTCTAAACCCCCTACTGTAAAGATGAACTTTAACATCCTCCGGTATCAATAACTTCATACATTTGCACTTACCACAAGGACATCTAATTATTCCTTCATTACGGAATTCAGGAAGTATTTTTGCATATGCAATAAATCCTTTAACACCTTCTACAAATTCTTCCTTCAACCCCCCACGATTAGGATGATTTCTATCATACATCCATCTACGATCTCGTTCCATCTATTACACAATACAAGATAAAATAATTAGATAAAGAAATAAATAAATTATTTTATTCACTCAGTGGAACGTCATGAAACAATGTTTCATAAACTATTCCTTATGCATGAAAATTGATAAAGATGACTACTTTAGATTTGACCAATATATACTGATAATGTACTTTGTTTTCTTATATTTTAGTTGATTAATGGTGCTTGTTAAATGATAACTACACAAGTCGACAACCAAAAAAATTAAACTGTGGCCATAAATTGATCAAGAGAACACTCAGATGTTCATTATCAGTTATAATTTTACATTGTTCGTCTTTTCATATTCCAAGTAAAGACTACCTTGATTTTGTTCAATGGAGTTTCATAATTTGTCAGTTATTTAGTCTTTATTTTCAAAATATATCGGAAATGAAATCAAAAATTTATTCTTCTACAAATAAATAAGTTAATTTCGTTCTTCTATATGACTAAACGTTTCCTAATAATATATTGCAATAACAATTGTAATGTAACTTAAGGAAACAATTTGATGAGAACTAATAGAAGCGTTAATTAACTACATTAAAATTAATATGTTCAACTTCCCGTAAAATCTAAGCAAGGGAATAAAATTATTTATCATTTACATATAGTATTGCAATTTTCTTACTATTCTTGATTAGGAGGATCCAAAAGACTTAGGTTTATGTCCCTAAATCCCTAAATTGCAATATAAAATCCCTAAATTTCGACAGAAAATTCCTAAATTGTGCTCTATAAGACATAAAAGACTTAGGTTTAACAACAATAATTTTTTCAAACCTAGGGTTTGAAATAGCAGAAAATCCCTAAATTTTGAAAAATCAAAATCGAAAAGGAGAGGGTGAGAGAGAGAGAGAGAGAGTAACTTGGGAAGGGATCGGAGTGAGCTCGAGGTGAAAACTTGTCTCGGCGGAGAGACAGAGTGAGAGAAAACTAAATTTCCTTTTGATAGTTCAAATATGAGCAAACCAAATATTTAATTTTTAATCTAATAATATTTGAACTGAAACCTAAACTAGCACTTGGCCGTCCCATTAATAATTAGTTCCTTTGAGTTTTGCTATATTCGTTTGAAGGGGGCTTATTGATTTTTAAGAAAAGTCGGATAAGGAGTAGTGAATAATAAGATAACTTTTCCACTTCTACATGCGTGGGAACTCTATGGGAAAACCTTTTCAATAAAGCATAAAAATTCAAAGTTCAAAATTTTTTGTCTGTTTTCCCTGGGAAATTTTTTTAGTTTCATATAATTATTTTTTTAATGACTTTTCCCACAGAATCAGAGGGAAAAAAGTGCACGCATTTGCGGAAAAGAATTTACACTTTTCCCACAGAGTTTCGGTGGGAATTGCCACTAATAATTTATCCGTGGGAAATTTTCGTGGGAAAATGTTGTATTTCAAGTAGTGTTTCTTCTATTTCAGCCGTTGATCTCAAAGATCAATGGCCCACAGACCCCTCCCATCTGTAATTAACAAAACCCAAACACTAAAGACCCATTCTCCTAAGCCACCGCCCCTAAATCCTCTCCACTCTCTCTTCTTCTCTGAGAAACCCTAGCCGCCTCATCTTAGTTCCTCTCTGATTCCAACCTAGAGATGGAATCTGCCTATGATATACTTACCTTATTAATCTTCTCTCGTCATTGTTCGTCCATTTATGGTGTTACTTAGGTACTTGCCTAAGTTTGGCAAGTATCACTTCCGAGATCAGGCTAGAATGACTCGAATCTTTGATTTTAGGAGTTATTCTATCTATGTACGCTCAACAAAGAGCGATTTGCACTTTTGGATCGTTTTTCAGGCGATTGAATCCTAATTAGGGTTTGATACTCTCCATCTCCTTTACTGATTTTTGAACCCTAATTAGGGTTTGATACTCTCCATCTCCTTTACTGATTTTGATTTGCATGTGATATTTTCTTTCCTTATTTGTGCTTAATTGACTGTTTTCCATGTTTGTACTTTCAATTTCTCCCACTACATAAACCCCTTTCCCCTCGAAGGTTTTAACGATGTCTCTAAGAACAACTACCACTTGAATAATATTATTATTATTATTATAACTATCACTCTCTCACTTAGTCGCTCACTTTATTCTGAAATTTTTTGGTTCTTGGCCGACTGAAAGCTAAGGCCATCGAGTTTGTTCTATCAGCCCTCCCAGTGCGAGCATTGCTCGGGGCTCATTTGAAGCCTTTGTGAACTTTAACACACTAGGTTTTGGGTTCTGCAACTCTTTTCTACTATCGATTATTGGAGTGCTGCTAAAATTATTCCTCTTGTTTACTTGTTCGTTAATCTGTAATTGGTAAGTACCTATGGCCTTTGCAATTTCATTCTCTTTTCGTTTGAGTTCCTACTTCGTATATCTAGGTCCCCTAAGACTTTTGTGAATCAACATGTTATTATCTGGTATGAAGCTTTTCTTGAGGCTCTATACTTCTCTATTAACTGAAATTGCCTATTTTTTACCTTGATTCTGGTCTTCTTAAGCATGTTTGCCCTAATGTGTGTGTTCGCATGCTTATTGTTGTTGCTTATTCCGAGTTTATTTTTTTTGCCTTGTTCTGTATTATTGTGATAAGCCGATTCATGTTTAGAATCTATTCAAATTCTTGTTGAATCATCCAAGTGGGACTTAATATTTTCTTAGAGTTAAATTCTAATCGAGTTATTAGTCAAACATGTTTCTCCGCTACTTGAAATTTTAAGTGTGTTCCCTGCCTTGTTTAATCTTGTGTTCTTCAATACTGCCTAGGAATTCTGGGATGAGATCCAATACCTGGCCTCTTCTTTTATATGTAGTTCAACCCTAGTGCATGCCAGTCATGCTAAACCTGGATTTAATATGTTCTTGCCTATTATGAGTTCTGGTGCTGTTTAGACCTTGGTATTATGATTGATAAGGTTAAAATTTCTCAAGCGAATTATTGCATGTTCACCAGCCTATTGGCGGTGTCATTTGTGATCCTACTTTCATTAGACTCTCATGCTAGGAACTTCCATGTAAAAATCCCTATTTCACTTGCTTCTGTTTGAGATTCTGCAAGGTTCTTCAATTAAAATCTTATGTCTATGTTATTTAAGTTGATATCAGTTCATATTCTTTGCTAAAACCCTACCTAGGATTGTTTGTTAGCTTGTGATGTTCTACCTTGTCATTTTGAACTTATTCCTGAAACATAGCATCTTATGTACATAACTCCATGTGATCTTGTCTATATGCTTCGGTTTAAACTACTGTTAGTTGTAGTCCTAAGAACTAAGTGTGTGGACTTCAAGATGTTTGATCAATTCTATATACAATTTGTTACTCGTGTGGTTAAGTTTGACATTGCTGGGTAAGTTAGTTCCCCTGTTAGACCTGGTATGGGTCTGTGTCTAAGTTCGAGTCATGCAGTTGATACATTCTAATGTCTTGGGGTGTACCTAGATTTGTGTTTTCTATTTTGTGCAAAGAATTATATTATTGAAAGCCTCGAAATTGCCGGGTTATTCTCCCTTGGGCCTGCGCTACTTATTGGGCCTGTACTCATTTTTTAGTTTGTAATATTTGAGCATGTATTCTTTATTTGGAGCCTATAGTAATTTGTAAACAAACAATTGGGGAGTTAGTGAAATTTGGGGAAACATGTACACTCTGTTCTTGCATAAGAGGGGTAGAAAATATGCCTATAGGGTCTAAATGTTTTATCTGCTATCTCATTTACATGCCCTTGACATGCCCTATTTCTATAAACTGATAGAAAGCATGCCTATAGGAACTCAAGCACTTCACTTTCCTAACATGTTCTATACATGTACGCTATTAGAAAGTATGCCTATAAGAATCTAAGTGCTTCACTTGTTCACATGCCCACTTCCATACGCTACTAGACAGTATGCTTATAGGGTTCAAACATCATTAGTTATTTGCTCAATTTGCTCTATTGATATGTGTTAGATACCACGCCCACAGGATCGCGTTAAGTGATGAAGACCTACTTCTATTGATATTCATCTAGATATCATGTCTGTAAGACCTTAATTGATTAATTAAGATGTCGTTGTTGCTATTCCTATCGCACTGCCCTCCTAGAAAATATGCCTATAGGGATAAAGTATTATTAAATCAATTTCAATTGTCAACCGTCAGAAATCCTGCCTATAGGGCATTATTACTCGTTTTAGACAGCATGATCAATATCGTTAACCCTAGGGTTTTGAAGAATCTTATTACCTTCTTGCACGAATAATATAGATGTCATGCCTATAGGTTTGTAATACCTTTAATCTGCGAATCTGTTAGCCTAAAAGTCGTAGCGCTGCCAGCAGACTACTGGAAATCAGAATTACCTAGAAATCATGCCAATAGGATTAACGACTATAATGCCTCTCAACTCCGAAATTGTCTACTACCTAATCTGCCGTGTGCATTTTCTGTTTATGTGTGGGGGTTAACTTGAGCCTTTTATTGCATTCATGTGAAGTCCTATATGTTTTACATGTGCGCTAGTTTTATCATTTTTTGAGCATCCTAAGTAGAGTCTAGAACTACCCTATAGTAGGTCCAAAGCCTAATGGACCATAGGCATGGGACGGGTAGTGCACGCATAGGACGCGACCTAGAATTGAATTAGAGTGACTTTAAGTAAACAACTTAAACATAGTAATCAGATAGTAGGAGATGATAGTCTGTGCCAGCTGAATAATATGAGCAACCCCTACCTTAAGGGAGTTGCAAAGTATTATTTATCTTGCACGGGGTGATCCTTAGGCTAGAAAACTCCCCCCCCCCCCACTTTCCTTTTATATGTTTGATGTTCACGCTTAGTCATCAAATATAGACCAACGCAGTTGTATCCCGTAACTTCTAAAGACTTGTCTTGATTATTTATATAGTTTGACTCTTGAGCTATTTTTTTACACTTGTTTATATTACAATAGAATCATTAAATTCCATGTCTTCCTTCACTTATATGATCACTTAGCTTAATTATAATTCAATAAATCCACATAGTGTAAACTTCAACCGGGACCCACAATTGTAGACCTCGAAGAGTGCCTAAAGCTATCTCTTTGGGGTAATTTGAGCCCTTACCCGTCTTTGGTAACACGGACTAGTCAAAACAGAGTTTTTTGCAAATAGGTGGCGTAAAGCACCTTAAAAATTGTTAGGTGGCGACTCTTATCTTTTAATACCCGTTTAAAAGAATTGTCACATGGCGAAACCCACTTTCGCAAGAAAAAGGGGCGCGACAACACTAACATTTAAGTTCAAACACAAGTAAAATGCAGTAATTGGAGTGCAAACTATGACTAAAACACGGGATTCTAGCCTACCAACAACACCCCATATCATAGAGATAGTCTTTTCATCAGACAACTTCCCTAATGCATCATGCCAAGAACATTTAAAATAAACTAAGCACCATATCATAGCATCATAGCCTCAAGACTCGACTCAAAAGCACCACACATTTTTCACAACCTGCTCACTTACTCTAACACAGAGGTCAAAGACTTTACCTTACCTTCGCAAATCACGTGCCCTCATACAAATAATAGAGAGTAGTTCCACACACAGTAAAATTCACGAACAAATAGGAAGTGTGAATAGACAGAATTAACTCATTCTCATAAATTAAATTCATGCGCCACAGAAGATGTACCATATGCTTGCCCGTAGTGTAATACTCTACTAATTTAGCTCATTCAGTCAAGGATCAAGTAGGACTTTAATTGGTTGTAATGTAGGCTGCGGGATGGGTAGGATACATTTGGATATAGTGACTACACCTCCCCACGCACTTTAATATATATAATTTCATAATTTAAACCCCACACTTATTTTGAACCAAACCCCAGCCTTCACAATATTAAGCTCCCCATATCTTTAAGCACAAACAAGACGAGAACTACCACTAGCAAGGGATCAATTTTCCTCTTTTCTACTACATACACACTCTTTTGTTTCTTATTTTCAGAGTTGTGATTGATTTTTCTTTCTCTTTTTTTTCTTCCAATTCCTTACATGCACTTTTCTCATTTTTTCAATAGTTCCACTCAAAAAAACCGACCATACCTCCACTTAGCTTTCATAAACTAATACAAACTCAAGTGCTCACGAGAGGTCCGAATCGAAGTCGGGATCTCCCTTGCACACACGACCTAGTGTACACATCCATGCTGAGAGCTTCTTTTCAGCCTTCTTTCGGTACACCCCACACATATTCACTTGACTCTCTCCAAGTTGCTCCTTTAGGCCCCCCTTCTCCTTCCATCTTGAAGATTAGCCTTTGTTCCCCCACTCTGAGCATGAGATGCCTTTCCTGAATATCCAGAATTGCTCTGCCCGTAGCCAAGAAGGGACTTCCTAAAATCACAGGGACCTCCCTATTCTCCTCCATGTTCACCACAATGAAGTCCATATGGAATATAAATTTGTCCACCCGAACTAGCACATCTTCCACTATTCTTTCAGGTATGATTGTGGTCTGATATGCCAGCTGCAATGACACAGATATCAACTTGATTTCTCCAATCTCTCCCTCCAATTTCCTTAAAATAGGCAAAGTCATAAGATTAATGGAAGCACCTGAATCATACAAAGATTTCTTAAACTTAGTACTTCCTAAAGAACAAGGTATAGTAAAACTCCCTAGATCTCTACACTTTTGAGGGACCTTATTTTGTAAAATGGCACTACAACGCTCTTTGAGCTTGACCACCAATGTCTCTTCCACCTTTCGCTCCTTGGACAATATCTTTTTCAAAAATTTATCATAAGTTGGCATCTATGAAAGCACCACTGTGAAAGGTATATTCATATGCACATGCTTGAGCACTTCTAGAAAGCGCCCGAATTGTTTGTCCAGCTTTTCTCTTCTTTGCTTCTGGGGGAAAAGCAGAACAGGCATGTCTCCTCGGTCTCCTCATTCATTCTTTGTTTGTCTTTCTCCTTCCTTGTTGGAACTTCAGACTTGTTCTTCTCCTTCAGATCATTCTCTTGCTCTGCCCTCACTTCATTCTGAACTTGGTTTCCTGTCAACTCATTCTTTTCTGCTACCAATGGATCTTGCAATACTTTTCCATTCTTCAACAACACTATATTTATTGTTTCCATTGGATTCATTTCGGTATCCGTAGGGAGAGTTGCTGGAGACCTCTCGGACAACAAACTAGCAATCTACCCCACTTGACTCTCTAAGTTTCGAATAGCTGCACTATGAGTTTCAAATCTCTCATCTATTTTAATAATAAATGCTTGCATTAGATCTTATATGCTGACTGATTAGAATTTGGAGGCTGGTATTGCTGCCTCTATTGATTTTGAAATCCTGGAGCTCCTTGTCCCTGGGGTCTCGGATTATTCTGTTGCAATGAGTTCAGGCTACCACTAGGTGAACTCTAAGAAAAGCCTGGATGCCTCTGTCCCATAAAGTTAAAATTATTACCACTCTGATAGTTGCATCTATCAAAGCTTCCCACAGCATTTATCACTTCATCTGCAGCTGAGGCCTGCCACTCATATGTTGGATGACCCATTCCACAGAAATCACAAACAAATGATGGTTAGCTTTGGACCTTGGCTAAGGTCAACTTTCTTTTCTCTTTATCCATGGCGCTAGCTGGGCTTGCACTAATGTGTTGGAATCTACTTGATGAACCCCAACAAAGTTTCTTCTATCATTACTCTCAGCATGCCACTGGTTAGCCTCTTCAGAGAGCTCATCAAGAATTGCCACAATCTCCTCAGGAGTCTTCTTCATTAAAGGACCTCCAACTGCAGTGTTCAGAGTTCGTCATGAGGGAGGTGTCAGTCCATCCCAAAAATCCTGGAGTTGCATCCAAAATTCAATCCCATTATGTTGACACTTTCTCACTATCTCCTTGAATCTTTCCCAAGCCTCGGAAACTGTTTCAGTGTCTGCCTGGCAGAAGTTGTAAATTTCCCTTCTGAATTTCACTATTTTTGCTGCTGAGAAGTATTTGTCAAGAAACTTTTTAGTCATATCTTCCCATGTCTTGATCGACCCCGTTGGTAAGCTACGAAGCAAGTGCTTTGTGTCATCCCTCAGTGAAAAGGGGAATACCTTTAAGTATACTGCATCTTTTGACACTCTGTTGTACTGGAAGGTGTTCATGATTTTCTCAAAATCCATCAAATGAGTGTTAGGATCTTCATTCACCTTCCCTGTGAAGACACAGTTGTTCTGGATAGTCTGAAGCAAACCTTGGTTTAACTTGAAATTATTTGCTACTACTGGTGGAGGTCTGACACTGGATAGTCCCTGATTGTAGGCTGGTCTGGCATAATCACTCAATGCTCTACCAGGCCTGGGTACCGCATTCTCAAACTGGTCTTCAACCAAGGGTCAATTTAGATTGTATCTTCGGCCCCCATTATCGTTGACGCTCATCGGCAGCTCTACGGGCTGACTCAGTTGCTATCCGTGTAGCTTCTTCTCTATGTTGTGCTGCCTTTCTTGCGACTACATACACTTCAGCGTCACTGTTATTAACCATGTGTTCTGGGGTTGAAGGTTGCCCCAAGAAATTTCTGGTGAGTTCCTTCTTTTTCCTCAACTGTCGCAGACTCTTTTCTACCTCTGGATTGTGTGGAATCAATTCCTTTGAAGAAAATTGAGCCATACACATGAGAAGTCAATTTTTTGCCTGCACACGAAAGAGCAAACCCGTGAAGAATAAAAAAAGTTCCTGAATTATCTCAAAATACTAATTTGAACACTATTGATTGCCAATTCCGGCAACGGCGCCAAAATTTGACGAACGCAAAACACAACATGAAATTAATGCTCGCTAGCCAAAGATAGTATAGTTTAATATCGTCGCCACAAGGATTGAATTTAAACAATGCTCAGGTAATTTCTAGCTTAACGCTATTCAGGATGATCAAAACTTGATTTGTAATGATTATAAACTACGATTAACTACTAAAGTAAAGTAATTAACTACTGACTGCAACAAACCAGAGATTAGCAAAGTCGGGTTCTTATCAAAGTGAGGAACAAGGGTTTTGACGTGATAGGTCCAAGGTTGTTATTCTAGATATGATACTATTATTTTTCACTCTTGAGGTTCTATCGATTCTCACGAATTCAATAGGTGATTAGTTTATACTTCTGATTCAGACTCCTCTCTCGATTAAATCTAAATCTTTCAAATAAACTAATGTGAAGTGCGGTAAAACTTGCAAGAATATATTGGTAAGAAAGGTCTAAGAGAAAATTCTCTCAAATATTTCCCAATCTTAATTTAAGAGGTAGATCACAAAGCTCTTTCGATTACTTTAAAGAAGTACCAAAATAAATTAAGGCATGCGTTGCAACAATATTCAATATTATGATCCTCTTCCGACTAAACAAGATAATGAATAAAATCACAACTAGAGTTAAAGCTCTTCCAAGGAATTCAAGCAATTAAGCAGTAATCAAATCCATAAACAACAACCATGTCACCAAATCACGTCAAAACCTAAGGTAAACTACTTCATAATATGGAGGAAGTCATCACAAAAAGAGCTAAAGAATAAGAAAGCATCAATCTAATGTTACAATCCAAACTCTCGTATTGAATTGATAGAAAAATGATGAAATCCCGTGTCTTATAGACATTTGGTCAAAGCTCGGTACATTTCTACTACAATCAGGGGAACCACCATGCTAGTAGGATTTTTCATGGCAACATCTAGCATCCCTACCAAGCCAAGGTCTATGTGAACATCCTTTATTGAACAAATTACCACTCCCAGAAAGGCCACCATGAAGGCTAATCCCCGTCGGGCTTCCCATTTGTCTTTATTTCCAGCATGTGTCAATCCTGTGTTGGGTTCCTCGAAACCTTTGGGGTTACCATACCGGTAATATAAGAAATGCAGTGTACAACACCCTTCCGCCAGACACGGGCCTTGAATATCCCGGCTAATGTTCAACAAATCCAAAAACCTATGAAGGGTTACCGGTCGTGGGGCCAGTCTCGGAGGTTCCCGTTGAGACTGGCGTATCCGGCAATCTCTTCCAATGTAGGTGTGAGTTCAAAATCTGAAAACCGGAATAAATTACTGGTCGGATCCCAGAATGGTATCAATGCCTCAATAATATCTTTTCTTGGTTTGATGTTCAGCAAATCGACGAGACCACCCAAACTTTTGACCACGGTATCTCTGCTTCCCTTTCCCAAATCATGCCACCACAAATGGAGTTTCAAAGGGATCTCGCTCAGGACTGAGAAGGTTTCGATGTTACTTGAATCCATCCTGCACATTTATTAGGGGACTTTAATGACTTATTTTGAACAAACGACTATTTGTGCAAAAATTCTTTATTTAGAAAACAGGCCTTGGATTTGCAAATACGGCCTTTCAGCACTTCTGGGAGGAAGGTTTTAAGGTTGTGCCCGCAAGCCATGTAAAAAATGACTCAGGTAGCTATTCTTGCAAAAACGGCCTTCCGGCGTCCTTTTGGGGACATTCGGCTTGTTTTTAACAAGAATGGCATCACCCGATGACAAAATTAAAATTTGACAATTTTTGGCTATTTTTGCAAAAGGGAGGTTGGACCCGATGAGGGTTGCCTACGTATCTCACATCCGGTGAGAATCAAACCGGCGTAGTTCGGGCAAATAAACCTAACTATATTTGAAAATCGGACTCTTTTGTTTTTGTTGGCAAACACACTATTTCTGTAAGCAAAATTCATTTTGCATGTTTTCTTTTTCAGTGGAAAATAAACAAACTAATTTGAAAATAAAACTCTCTTTTTTTTATTCTTTTTTCATTGGTAAACAAAACAAACTAAAAATAACAAACTACTTTTCTTCTTTTCTTTCATTTTCAAAAATCCGACAGTATTTCGGCACTACTTGGATACTTGGTTTTTCAAAACTAGTGGTTACCCGGTCAACATGCAAAGCCGAGCAAATAAATGCGCAAGTAGCACGTAAGATGCATCAGGATGGTCCATTATTTCAGGTCACCTGTCCTAGACGGACCCAACCCCTGTGTTGAGTCCCCTAAGTCAAATGCACATGATGCAAACAAGCGTCCTACTAGGGATCCGGCATGAGGTTTTGTTCTTCTAGGTTTATTGGTCTAGACCTAGCTTACCCGAGCGGACAACTCGGGCTGAGGGGGAGGCAACGTACCGGGGATACAGAAGCTCCGCCGGCTTTGCAACTTATCCAAACCTCGTTCTAAATGGGAAAAGACTCTAAACAGAAGAGAAGCTACACGAAGTGCACCCTTCTCCATGATGTAGAAGACTCAGAGAGAGGAAGGGATTCGTGACAGTTTATATACAATTCAACAAATATCAAAGCGGTGAAACAATTAGCACACAAGGCATGAAACATGTAGCAAAATCAAATATAGCCAAATATAACAATTTAATTGAGCTCGAATTCTTGAACCCTGAACCGAAATTCTGGGTTCTTTTCCCCAGCAGAGTCGCCAGAGCTGTCACACCTCCTTTTTCGCTTACTACACCCCGCGAAGGATATAATAAAAGGGAGTTTTTCCAATTAAAGGACAATCGAAACGGGATTCGTTTATTAAGAGATTCAGAGTCGCCACTTGGGAGATTTATGGTGTCCCAAGTCACCGGTTTGAATCCCGAATCGAGGAAAGGGTTTGACTCTGTTTAACAGTCGCGAACCAGAAATTCGGGTAAGGAATTCTGTTAACCCGGGAGAAGGGGTTAGGCACTCCCGAGTTCCGTGGTTCTAGCACGGTCGCTCAACTGCTATATTTGGCTAAAGTCTGATTTTAATACATGTT